TTACCGCTGAGAGTGTGGCGGGTGCTCTCAAACAACGCATGCCATGGCAGGCCAAAGCAGTCAGAAAACAGCCTTTCTCGGCAAGGAGGGAGATGAGGCTGGAAACTGAGCAAAGACTGAAGTGATTTCTGAGCTCCAAAGCACAAAAGTCCTTTCTTGAACAGTCAGCTTTCTTCTTTCATACCCATTTCACAGAAAGCAAACGGATGAGCCTTGGAGAAGAAGAAGTTGGTCAAGAAACTGAGCAGAGGCAGGGCTGGGGTTTGAGCCTCACATGCCAAATCATATTTGGCCCCACAAAACTAAAGACATGAAAATGCCCATTTCATGGAAGGAGATGCTGATCCTTCAGAAAAAACACCTCTGCAGGCAAGATACTGGCACCACACGGCCACTCCAAAAGAACAAAAATGCTCACACACTCGATTCAGACTTTATTCGAAGCTGTCACTCAGTCAGAAAATAGCCTCAGGCAGGACATGGAAACACAGAAGCAGAGTGAGTCAGAAGGGGACTCCTGGGCCATCTCCTGAGATGGAGCATACCTGCAACGCCTGAGGTGTTTAAGCGCATCCTCACAGAAACCAGAATCTCCTTTGAGGGGACCGATCTGTAGAAGTACAGGGTGGGGCTACTGCTGCTCTGTGCTATTCAGCTAACCAAAGTGTGTAGAGGGAAGCACTCCCCCCCTACAGCCTACTGTCTGTCTGTAGGAAAAATCTAATGACATTGGGTGCATGTCCAATGTTATCTAACTTCAAAAAATGGTGGCATCCCATAGACACTGCTAACAGTGCTTCACCCACCAAACCTATTCTTTTCCTAGCACTTGAAAAATAAGCTTCATTTTATTTATTTATTTTTTGATTTATAACCTGCCTTTTTCCTGCAAAGGACTCAAGGCAGCTTACATCTCCTCCTCCGTCTTATCCCCAGAACAACAACTCTGTGAGGTAGGTTGGGCTGAGAGTCTGTGACTGGCCCAAAGTCACCCAGTTGGTTCCATGGCTGAGCGGGGACTAGAACCCAGATCGTCTGAGTCCCAGTCCCATGCTCTTAACCACTACACCACACTGGCTCTCACTCTGCAAAGTTTTAAAATCTTCAAACTCAGAATGGACATTTGGGAGGAATTACCAAGTGTACATTCCCAATTTGAAGATTTTACAAGCTTGCAAAGTGTCTTGTTCAGGCACTAGGGAAAAGGGGGAGGGTGGGAAGCACCTTTAGAAGCACAACATTTCATGCAGCCCTGGGATGCCCACACATTTGCACGTATGGATAAACCAGAAAACACAACTTCCCACAATCAAACCCTAAGAATTCTGCTGTTAATGGTGCTTTGGGGGCAACAAACTCATTTGCCATTGCCTTCCTCATAGGATCCACAGGGTTCCTGGGGGATGATCAGAAACCCAAACAGTTCCCCCAGGGAATTGCAGTTCTTCCCAAGGCAACAACACCTTAGCGAAGGGAAAATTCCTGGGGGAAACCCATCACTGGGATGGGGCGGTTAGACTCTGAGATTTGTTTTTGCAAGCAAGTTACAGGGACAGTGAAGAGAAAAGGCCTGGGTGGGAGGAACACAGCCCTGAGCAGAATCACTTAAATTAAGGTTGTCTAAACCGAACCCATTGACTTAGAGATATGCTGTTCATCATGTCTTGGTAATGCAACAAGCTATGTGTGGCTGGCCACATAGATGAGCTTATTACTAACTCATGAAAACTGTACAACAACAAAAATAAGTTTTATTAATTGATGAGAAAACAGTGTATGGGGCTAGAATGATGGGCTTGCAGGAACACACACAGATTTCACCTGGCAGATTTCACCTGGAAAACATACATAACTATTGACTCAATCACTGCATCTACTGTTTTACAGGCCAATGTGAAATTCAAGGACTCAGCCAGGCCAAGGGCACGTGTCTTCAAGACAGAGGCAATGCACCCCACAAAGCTTGCTGGGACAGGTGGAGTGTACAATGAAATAATTTGTCTCCACAGTGAGAACAAACCATGCCCAAGAACCAATTCGGATTTTAATCTTAAGTCCTTATTTCACAAACCTGAAAAGGGTTATTTAAAAAAAAAATCTGATGCCACACAAATACAGGGTTCCTCAGAAATATGAAATGGGCTGGAAAGAGAAATTATCCAGCCGCGGTGAACCCAAGCATATGAAGCTGACAATTCTGAAGAGCATTTTTAGAGAGCTGCCAGATTCTGGACCATTACCAGAGTTCCTGCCTTCCTATAAGAACACAAGAAAAGCCATGCTGGATCAGACCAAGGCTCCGTCTAATCCAACACTCCATATACATGGTGGCAAAACAGTTGTCCACAGAATCCCTCAAGCAGGATGAGTTCAAGACTTTTGCCTACACAAGGTGCTCAGCGACTGGTGTATGCAGGCATGCCACCTCTGGTAAAGGAGGCAGCACAGAGCCAGCAAGGCTAGCAGCCACCAATAGCCTCCTCCATGAATCTGTCCAGTCCCTTTTTAAAGCCACCTGAATTGCTGGCCATCACCACTTCCCATGGCAGCAAATTCCATAGCTTTACTATACATTGTGTGAAGATTTCTTTCTATCTGTCCTAAACCCCCCACTAATCAGCTTCATGGGATGACCCCAGATTTGAATGTTATGGGAGAGAGAAAAAAATGTCCCCCTCCACCTTCTCCACACTATGTCTCCCCTTATTCGCCTTTTTTCTAAGCTAAACAGTCCCAGTTGTCATAGCCACTCCTCAAAAGGGAGTCGCTCCGGCCTTGATCATTTTCATTGCCTTCCTCTGTACTTTTTCCAACTGGATAGTGTCCTTTTTCAGGTGCAGCAGCAAGAACTGAACACAATGCTTTAAGTGTGGTTGTATTGGTTTGTATAAAGAAAGATAGATTTGCATAAAGAAAGATCTTGGTGGTTCTATTTTTCTATTCCATTGCTAATTATGCCTGGCAGAGATTTTGCTTTTTTCACTAAGTCATCATTTTCATTGAGCTATTTGCCACAACCCCATTCCTGCTCAGACACTGCACATTCGGATTTTTTGCCTTAGCATGTGTTACTTTAAACTTGCTTATAATGAACTGCATCTGCCATTTTGATGCCCATTCTACCAGCTGGGGGAGATCCCTGTGAAGTGCTTCACAATCCCTTTTGGTTTTAACCACCCTAAACAGTTTGCTGCCATCAGCAAACTTGGTTCCTTCACTGCTTACTCCTAATTCCAGCTCGTTTATGAAGAGGTTGAAAGGCATTGGTCTGAATACAGAACCCTGTGGGACTCCACTAGCGATATCCCTCCATTGGGAGAAATTGCCATTTATTCCCATCCCCTCTCTTCTGCTCTTTAACCAGTTGGTGATCCATAAGAGGACCCCCTTCTTTTATCCCATGACTGCTAAGTTTGCTCAGGAGCCTTTGGTGAGGGACTTCGAAAGTGCAAGTAAACAATATCTACTGGATTGCCTGTCTGGGCTTAGTGACACTCTCAAAGAACGTCAATGGGCTAGCGAGACTGGATTCCCCCTCGGGAAGTCATGCTGATTCTTTTTGCAGCAGGTCTTGTCCCTCTCTGTGCTTACTGTTTCTATTTTAATAATGCTTCCAAGCAGTTTATGCCAAACAGCTATTAGGCTAATTGACCTGTAATGCCCTGGATTCCCCCTGGATCCTTTTGGTGTCACACTGGCCATTCCCCATTCCTCCAGTGCACAGGCTTCCCCTTCTTCCTGCTAACCCCAAGCCTTGGTTGTTGTGCACTCCGAGCAACCAGAAGCAAAGAGTGGGGAGGGTGCAGACCATGAAGGCTGCATCGGACGAGCTGCACCCTGGACTGCTGCAGGAGCTCGGACACCAACCAGTGACTATTCCAGCAAGGTGGGAAGGCACGTCATACCTTCCTGGCATCACACTGGAGAACTCTCGCATAGTGCTTTGCTCAATATGCCTCTTGTTCATGTAGTGCTTTGGCCAGATGCCATTTTTTAGTTTGCCCTGAACTGGTCTCTGGCTCTGCTTTCATGGTTGGTTTCCAAGTTGGCTTCTTACACGCTGGGAGTCTTGATTTGGAAGGTGCTGTGCTTTATGAGTATACACTTTTGCATCTCTGTGATTAACCATTCAGAGAAGTTTGTACTGCATTCTGGGAGGTAAGTCCCCTCTCTGTCAGGCTACAAAGGCCGAGCTCTGGTGGTGCAAGAGCTTGCACAGGGACATTTGGAGAGTTCGCAACTTCTGGCTGAGAAGTCCTGTTGGTGAGGTAGATAGAGAGGGAGAGAGGTAAGGAAAGAGTAAAGCTATGTAGTGGGGTTGCAGTCATCATGTGGAGCTAAATCTCAAACTGACCTCATATTTCTTCTGATTTTTCTTCCCAGCCTCCAGGTGCCTGATGGAAAAGAATTGAACTCCAACAGGTCATTTACAGTGTAATATTGTAAATGTGTACAAAGAAGTAAGCCAGTTGAGTTCAGTGGTGGCTTCTCACAAGTTAGTTTATAGCCTTAGGTTCTACTGTTAGGAAATCTAAGAGTTTCCTTTGCAGAGTGTGTTGTTGCTTTCTTACATTTCCTTCCTCCCCTCTTCTCTTTCAGTTCTCTGTTTTAACAAAATACCCAGAACAGAAGGCTAATAGCTATTTCCCGTGTGGGGGCAAAGACTGCTACCAGTTTGTTTCCCTCATGAACAGAACTACCAAAAAATAAAAAATGCAGCTTTTGCTTTTTGCCCATTTAAGAGTAATGCCCCCACTTTGTGGTCTGTGTATGCGTGTGTTTTTAAAGATATCATATGGTTATATTTTGAAATGGTGTGTATATAAGTTGTCCTGGTGCCTTTTTGACTTACAGGGGCCACAGGAAATGGCTTTTGAATTGTTTGGGGTGCAGTTGTTCTATGCTTGCTTGGACTATCATTTTGCTCTGTAGTTTCCACGGGTGTTTTTGGGAATATCTAGTGAGGTGTCCTTTTGCTCCAAACACAGTGTTTAAATCTATACGTGTGTGGACCTGCCATGGCCTTTCTGCTCTTCTGTCCTCTGTTTTGGTGATGCATGTGGCTACCCTTCCAGGGAGTCATAGCTCAGTTTCACTGGCTGACCCTCAGTCTGATATTATGAGAGAGGAGAAGGACTTCCTTGTTCACTGTCTCCATTCCCTGCATAATTGCATGCACCTCTTACTCATCTTTTTGCTAATCCAAGGAGTCCCAAACAGTACAGCCTTTTCTTACAGAAGTGTTGCTCCAGGCATTGGTTCTAATGGTACTCTCTGGCAATGCCGCGTGCAGGCATGGGCCCTAATATCTGTGGGGACTGCAGAGGGGGAGCAAGGTTAGAGCCCCTGCAGTATTCCATGCCACAGTCCTGACCGCACTGAGCCTTCATCCATTGCGGGAAAATACCCCCATCTCTTCTCATGGGGTTTACCTGCTGCAAGTAGTAATTCCATGTGGGAACTGATGTGTTGGCTTGAGAGAGAAGAGAGAGGTCACTATCCAGTCAGCGTTGCCCTTGACCCTTCCCTAACCGTGGAAAGCAAGCCCTGAGAGGACGTGGGCTGAAAATTCACCCGCCTGTGCCCTGTCTGATCAGTGAGCACAGCCTTTGCACTGAGAGGAAGCCCAAGCCCCTGAATTGTCCCTAAACTGCCCACTGTCCCTAAACACCCTTGACGCCCTCTGCTGAGACTACTCCACTGTTGGAGAGCGGTGCTGGGATGAGGGAGGCCGCGTGAATTGGACGGGCCAGGAATGGGCATTATTCAGTCCTGCCTTGTAATGCTGCTTGTGCTGACGCTTCATTTTGGGTCGGTGTTCCCAGGCTTTAGAGGCTACACTTCTGTCCTGAGGCTTGCAAAAAGTTCCATCAGGTGCCTCGAGTGGGAAATTTGGAAAGCGCTTTCCCGGGCAAGTATTCACCTGTAC